TATATATATATATATATATATATATTAGTTCGTTCGTCGTCTACACTATGTCAAACTAACGTTTACTTTACTTTACTAACTACTACTATATATATATATATATATATATATATAGGACGTACTTCTTTGCTCGGTTTTTAATTAGCTGAGGGCAGGGGAGTACGCGCTGTCATGCAAGTGAAGGAATGCGGAAAAGTGGGGGTACTGCACTATTGGTTTGATTCTTGTATCGGCTCCAGTTGACGGAGGACGAGGAAGACAAGGGGTGTTGTGTATTTACCTCATGCATGTACGGTTGTAAAATCCACAAAAAGGTCCGTACTGAGAGTCGGATGAAGATGTTTTCAACGATTTTGTTTTTCTGCTTAAAGAATATATATATATATATATTTCTCTGTCTCGTTGCGACTGCATGTGACCTCACGCCACGGCGAAGGGTACCCCACAAAAGAAAAAAAAACAGAAGAGAGGAAGAAAGAAAAAGGAGATGTGGGATGTAGATGAATGTGTTTTTCATCTATGAAGACAACAGTGAAATTTGTTTTGTGTGTTATTTGCCGTTATTTTTACCCTTACAGACGTTGTTGTTACCATTGTTTCCGTTTTTTTTGTGTGTGTGGGTGGGGGAGTTGTGTATACGTGGACAGGTATACAAGGAGGCACGGGAACGCCCAACAGCCACCGTGGCGCGAGGATGGTCTGCCTGGGAAGGAAGGGCACACGCGCGGGTAAACGAGGAAGGGGGAAGGGGGGGAAGGCTGAATGTTCATTTGCGTGTGTGCATTTGCATTTGATACGGGGGAGAAAATACCGATAGTTTAAATGGCTCTTTCGTTTCGTTCTTCTTCATCTTTAACTCCTTGTTCTCCCTTCTTCGCCTCCCACTCAGACTGAGGGCGTGTATGTGTGCCTCGTGTTGTGAGTCTTTACTGGAAGCGCACAAATAGTAAGACACATACGAGATGAATAATATGGTTGCAAAAGAGAAATTGCGGGAGTGTGATTGAGGCAGCAATGAATGGCATTTTTGCGCGACACTTTAATTGCTTTGCCGTCGCCCCGTAGTTTCGCCTCGCCTTCCGTGTGTGTGGGTGTGTAAATGGTTGATGTGTTTGTTGCTACTTGGACTCTACGCACGGTTTTTTTTCGTATTGTTTGTTTTCTAACTTAACATTAGGCACGCCGTATTATTACCACTATTATTAATTAATTTTGTTTTTCCTGTTTCTTTTACTTATTTGTATTTTCTATTCGGTGCTGGGTGTGTGGAGAGGAGGGCACCACTTGTTGTTTAGTGTGCGCTAGGCGACGCCATTGCCGTGCACGTCACCCCCGTCTTCATCGTTTTTGCATCGGTACTGTTGGTAACGCCTGTGGAAGGCTTCCCTCTTTTACTCTGCCTGTGTGGATGCGTGCGCTTCGTTGCTTTTCGGTAGCCCGAGGTCTTGGTTCTATTGCGGGTGGTCAGAGACATGGAGGGGGAAGACGGCAGTGACGGGAGCGGGCTCGTAACTCGACGAGGAGAGAATGAGATGGAAAACAAGGGGAGAAGCTATGAACTTCTATTATACCTCACGCTGCGGTCAAATGAAATAGTCACATTGGCAAAAGGAAGTATATATATATATATATATATATATATATATGAGAGAGAGGAGAGGGCCTCGTAGTGGAGCTGAAGGAGGGGAGGGGGGAGCGGATCGTGATCGTTCTGGCGGAAAACGGCGAGGGCCGCACCTTGGTGTCCTGTTGGTGGCGCGCCTCTCTTGTTTCTGCATCTGTTTGTGTCCTTTAAAGGATAGCTTTTTCACATTCCTCTCTATCCGTTGTTTTTTGTTTTTGCTTTTTCGTTTGTAGATGCATTTTTTTTTTGTCCCACACATCCTCTTCCTGCCGTTTGCTCATGCGTTTTTGTTGGTTTGTGCTGGCGTGGATTGCTTCATGCCATCTCCACAGTTTACTTTGCTCTATTTTCTTTCCTCTCGCACCGTTCAGCGAAAGAAAGATGTCGTCAGCTACGGTTAGTGTTTTGTGTGGGTATGTTATGTCTGCTCGTTTTTTTTTTTTTTGTCGTGTGTTTTTTTTTGTTTTTGCTGGCTTCTGCAGCTTATACAACATGCAGTGAACTCCTTTAGAAGCGGTGTTTTTTATTTCCTTTACTTTTTGTGCCGATCTTCTTTAATTGTTTGATGGGGTGGATGCGCGACTTGTCGCCCATTCACTCGCTGCCTTATCTCCACTCCTTTGCCGACCCAATACGTCATGGTTAACGTGATATGCCTGTGTGGCTGTGTGCGTCTCTGGGAGGGTGACATGGGTGCATTCCTCCGATGCATGCCCCCTTGCATGTTTCCCTCCGGCTTTTTTTTTGTGTGGTTTTCTTTTATGCAACTAATACCGCATGCAAGACCAAACAGAACGCCTTGAGTCCTTCCAAGACGGCAGCGACCGGAACCTGCAACTCACGAGGATGGACCTTCCCACACTACACCGCTACTTTGAGGTGGCGGAGGAGCTGTATGCAGCTGGTCATTGCCTGCATGCCTTTGTCACGTTGCATGCCCTTATTGCAGCCCCAACCATCATTCCACCGTACTACCGTCGTGAGGAAATTTTGTGTCGGGTGCGTGCGGCTGAAATGCTTTTGTACAATTCCTTGCAGCTGCCGCGAAGGAAACAAAGTGCAGGGCGTGGTAATGCCGCGCCCTCCGTAACAATGGCGCAGCTCGATTTAGTGTATTCCGTCTTGTCTCCGATGATGTCTTCCCGAGGCTACTTGGAGGGCGTCGTTGTTTCCCCGCTACTGTGGTGTAGCGGCAAGCGCGACAGTGCTGCCGTCACTGCTAGGGAACGAAAAGAATCGTCAGAAGTGGAGAGGGCGAAGGCTGAGGAGGAGGAGGAAGATGGCGATGGCAGAATTGTGCCAGTGGCGTTAGTTGTAAAGGCATACACGTTGAGTGCGATCGTGCATTGTCGTCGGATGCGACACACACAAGCGGTAAAGTGTGTCGAGGCGGCTGAGCAGTGGTGCAATACTGCCTTCCACACACTACTTGCTGGTCTGGCGACGAGTCTCACAGACGACACTGTGGCGGAGGTCCAAAATAGGGAAGAAAAACGCTGCTGTGATGCCTTTCTCTCCGTGGAGTTCTGTCGAGTGTATTACTCACAGCTTGTGAGCACTACAACCTCCGTCGCTACAGTAAATTGCACGCCGAGCACGGCGGTCCTTCATGCTACACGTGCACACGCCATGGAACGACTACTCTACCATGCAAAGGACTACGCAAGGTACGCCACATCCAGTGGCTTGGAGCAGCGTCCTCTTGATATGGGAATCGGCAGAAAGTGTAGCTCACTGTGTTTTTCTTCCCCAACGAATTCGTTTTCCATACGGGCGGCGGCGCGTGTACTGGCACAGTATTACTGTGCCACATTGATCCTTGATCAACAAGTTATAGAGGCGGAGCGACATATGCAGCGGTGTGAAGTGATATTTGGTGCCTCTCCCGAGCTGCAGTGTATGATGCAGCTTTTGGCTGTGGGCCTCCGGGGCCCGTTGGGGTGGGATAGGCTGCGACGTGTGAAGCGGCAGCGCAGTGAATCGGTGTCCGCCGAATGTCAAGCAACGATGGATGAGAGAGGTGTGCCGTTGAATGGGAAACTGCGCTGGCTTTCCGATGGCTTGTTAGCGGCATTAAAGTGTTACTTGGCCATGCATGCAGCTGCGATGGGTACTACGGCTACCGAGGCAGCACTGCCTCTCACCTCGGGGCAAACAAATTCCCCTGTTGAGGTGTACGCAGAGAACGATATAAATCGTCTAAGTAAGAATAATCAGGTGCGCTCTCTGTTTGGACGTACACTACGTTGCATTGATGAGCAGTTGACGCTTCTAACCACAGAGACGGTTCACTGCCACGAATTGCACAACACACTGAAGAGTTTGCTGTGCAGCTCTCCCTCGGCTGATATTCGTTTTTTGGTGATGCTGAAGTGTGCAACACTTGTGACAATGAGTACATATGCGCTCTCGCAATTGTGGCTGGTGGAGGGCGTGAGACACCTTCACCAGCTGCGTCGCTACATGGAGGTGTTCCACAAGCACACGACAAGTCTACGGGCGCACTACCATCTCATCGTCTCTCAGCTAACCTCGATGCTTTCATTGCGGCATCTCTCATGTGAAGGTCATGCTTCAAAGGGCACAGAGACGGGTGAGCATAAGCGACTCTCTGAGAAGGATGATGAAGAACGTACAGCTGGGTTTGATGTGGGATTGCCATATGCACACGTAATTGCCGCGGAGGCGGCAGCATTAAATACAGCTGCTGTTTGCCTCTGTAGCCCGTCCACGCTGTTGCTTGTGCTGCTTGCGAAGGGAGCTGCGATTTCCCATGCGGCCCGTGTGGGGTCAGCACTTCACCTCAATGATGACGGAGTCACGATTACGAGCCTTACTGTACACCAGCGGCATCGTTGCGCCACAGCTCTCATGCACGTATTGGAGGCCCTCAAGACAAGCTTTGAGGCGGCATCTGCAACTGAAGATGAAAGCGGAGAATACGGCGGGGAACGTGGCCTTCGACAAAGGAGGTCTGCGTGGACTCCGTCTAATCACGTGTTTTTGCTTTTCCTTCGTGGTGTGGCTGCCATGACAGCGGAAAAGGACGAGTTAACGGCCACTTGCATGTTTAAGGATGCTTTGCAGCATGTAAGGCGGTATGTAGGCCTCACTAGTGGTGTTGCCGCGGAGTTGTTCTACCTTCTTGCAATGGCATACAATGAGTCGGAACGGGCAGAGCTGCACTCATGCGAAACACCCACGTCTGTCTCAGAAACTTTTGATGAATCTTTTTTTGCTGTTGCCAATGAGACAAATTGTAATGCGCAGCGCAACTTTTCGCTGGCGTGGCAAGTGGCTTTACATGCAAGGCGGTTGACACTGTTGCACTGTGTCTTGGCCCTGCAGGAGAGTGACAGTAAGGAAAGCTATCGACACATCGTGGGCGAGTGGAATACGGAGGTGCATCGTGTGTGTTCACTTATGCGACGTGAGTTAATGGAGGTGGTTGCCCTGTAGTTTATATGCGATTCCTTCTTTGTGTTTGGACGCCTTCTCTCCATCGCACCCACCATCATTCCCCTTTCAAAGGAGGGGGTTTTGGTTGCGGAAGGTTGCAGCAACAGAAGTGGGGAGGGGGTGGGGGGTGGTGGTGAGCGATAAGTCTCACGTTTTTTTTTTTTCTCTTTCTATCGTTAATAACAGTGAAAGAAAGTACGCCACCTGCGCACGCACGCATACGCACAGGGGTCTTGGTGGGTTTGTCTGTCTGCACGCCTTTTTTTCCCTCCATTCTACATCTGTGGTGCGCTTGCCGTTCTGCATGTTCTCTCTTTTTTCCTCTTGTGTGTTCTGTCTGCGCTTATTTTGCCGTGCCGTTGACGGAGAGGAAAAAGCGGAGGGATTCATTTATCTCCCTTTCCTTCCCTCTTTACATCTGCTATTGGTGTAGGAGCAAGCGGTGCAGAGGAGTGACCGTTAGAAGGAGTTAGAGAAAACTCAAAGGAAAAGGCAAGAAAAAAAAGTACTTCAAAAAAAACAACAACTGAAAAAAGGAGAAATAACTAAACGCGTTGAGTTTGTAACGGTTGTGTGAGAGGTCTAAGTGTTTTGCTGAGGCGAGCAGTAGACACAACGCATTCTCCAAGGTTGCACTGACAGGCAAGCATGTTCGAAAGCAATCTGCTCTCGCAGATTAACACTGCATCGCCGCTTCCTACGTTAGTGGAAGTGTCCCTCGTGAACTCCCTCAACAAGTCCCTGTCTAAGGCCTTCCAGTTTGCTCATCTGTTACTAGCAGAAAAATGCGATGTAGCGGCCCGGTTTCTGTCTTGGAATGCTGAGATTTGGCTTGTTTTGCAGTCTTTGATGGAGTACCGGCTTCTTTTTTATGCCAACACCACATTTGCAGAGATGTTGTTTGGCCTTCGCCGCGGCTCTATTGCATCGCCATCGAAGCAACATGCGTCGCAGGGGAGACTGTCGTGGTGGATTCGAGGCCCCCTCCCTGTGCCTTCCTTGGAGGAGAAGGCCTTGCAGACGCCATATGCGGCAGCCAACACAGCAGTGAATGCCTTCTCTGACGCGGCACCACCCCAACAGCACGATGAGCTTACAGCAGGAGAGATGCGAGCGGCGCAGGGTGCTTCTTACGGCCATCTCCGTTTTAGTCCCATCAGCAACACACAACGGTGCGTGACACTGTTTCTCATTACTGCTAAACCCTACCTGGATGAGCTTGTCGCCAAATGGTACACTCGCCAGACTGACTCTTCTCCTGAAGTCGTCGTTATGCGTACTGCTTATGCGAATCGTTATCCAATACGAGCTCGAATCAAAAAGTTATTAACGCGATTGTATCCTATATTTTACACAGTATCAGGGGGCTTGAGGTTATTGTACCAGATACTTTTCCTTCTGGAGTTGACGCCGTACATTGCACCGTTTCATCGTGTTTTTGGTATTGCTCTGCGGCGTCTTACAATGGATGATGAACTTGCTGCGGCGAACCCACGAGCTAGACGGGCTCTTCTTTTAGCACGCGTATTTCTTATCCTCTTATTTGTTGGATTCAGGCTGCTAGAGCTCACTGGCGCGGGTAGTGCTGCTGGAGGAGGTTCGGCACTCACATTAACAGGTTCAGGCGGTGAGGAATTTGCAACACCTCCACCACCGGTGCTGGGGGAGGACGTGGTAGTTCCTTCAGGAACAACGCTTCCACAGCCTGGCATATGTCCAGTGTGCGGGCGACGCGTCACTAATGCTGCAGTGTGCACTATAAGTGGTGTGGTTGGTTGTTATCCGTGCCTAACAGACCACACCAGGACACATGGTGCATGCCCGCTGACGAAGCGCAAAACAACGGTAGATTGTATACGGCGCATATATGAGTGCTGATGTTGTGAGCAGGAGAGGTGGAAACGATATCTATTTTTAAAGTGAAGGAAAAAAGAAGGTTTTCATTAGGATTTACAGGAAAAAAGATGGTGTTCAAAATGCTGCATGTTTCCCGAGGCGTAGGTTTTTGTCATTGAAATGTAACAGATAAAGAGAGAAAGAAAAATATGAAGACTGGGTCGAAAAAGAAAAAAAAAAATGCTTAGGCGTTTCCTGGAGCAGTGCAGTTTATTTAATGTGCTACTGAACGCACTGTAGTGCTTCTTGCGCATGTGTATGTTGACTTGTTTGTATTGCGCAGAAAAGAAGAGGGTGATGGTGTTGGGGAGGAGGGATGTGTGTTGTTGAGCTCGACTGATGTGAGGCAGCTGTGAATTCCTTTTCCTACTTGCTGTTGTGGGGGTGACGGAGCCGCGAGGGACGGAACCCGCTGGGAAGAGGGAGGGAAAGAAGGATGTGACGATAGAAAACGAGGGGGTAGGGCGGAGGGGAGTCAAGGGTAAATTTTTCTTTTTTTATTTTATTTCTCCTTTTCTGAAAAGGGGGTGCCATGGCGAGTATACACGGCGGTGTCGGCGGGTTCCTCCTTCGCCGTGCCGCCGCGAAGAGCATTCGACAGAAGTACCAGACCGGCCCACAGTTCAATAGACGCAAGTTCTTTCAATTCCCAAAGGGCCATCACCGTCTCCACCGTCGCATCGGCGGCATTCAGTGCGGCTCACCAACGCAGCAGCGGGAACACGCGCGCTTCTCGCATCTCCCTGGAGACACTCGAACCCGGCCGCAGCACGACTTTACTTTTGGTGGAAAACGAGCTGATGGCGCCATGTACGCCTGGCGAAAGCGCGGCAACCTGCAACTTTACCAAATGGGTGGAAAACCCGAAACATTTGTCTGCTATCGTTGTGGTTATCCGGTGCGCAGCCAACTCGTGGCGATCAAGGCAGACAACTGGGATTTCCGGATGTGCTACAGGTGTTACACGAGCACCGTGCACCACGGGATGGAGAATGATACATGATGACATCTGCAGTGAGCGCCACATTTGGAAATGAATCGGTGAGGAGTTTAGTCTGTACAGCAACGTACGCGCCTTCTCATTGAGTGAAGTGGGGCTCTGTTGTGTTGTTGGTGGTAGGGGGGATCACTGGGGCACAAATTATCTCTTTGTTGTTCTTTTTGCTGTCTAGTCGCTCTGCTGGGGTTCATTGAAGAAACACAGGCAATGAATAAAACTGTTCACTGACACAATGGTGTGAAGGAGGTACAATGAGCCCTGTGTTTGTGGCACTGGCTGCGGTATCTTACAATCTTTTTATTTTTTTGCTTTACATCTCTTTGTTTCTCCTTTTTTGACTTTTTTTTTGTTTTCAATGACCAATGTAGCCGAGGGGAAGGTTTCTGCGGGTGGGGCAGGCTGAAGGAGCGATAACGAGAGGGTGGTGGTGATGAGCTACGCAGGCGACACGTACTACGCCAACCAAGCGGCTGACTCTTACCACTATTCCCAGCCGCAGCAGCCATCGGCGGAGGAGGAAAATACCATTGATTTTCGCCCCCCCGATATCACGGAGCACCAGGACAAGATCATTCAACTTGCGGCTAAGTACGTGGTGTTCTCCTGCGATGGGGCGCGATACCAGCATCTGCTGGTTAAGCGGACAAAGTTTAATCCTTACTTTGCTTTCATTGCCTCTCCAGAACACAAATATCATGAATACTACCAGTATTTGATTAGAAGCTACACTGTGTGGCGTGACATGGCTGCTACGAGCTCCGCGGGACACGGCGGCACAGATGAAGGGTACGCGTTTTACACTGAGCAACTAAGACAACAAGAACAACAGCAACAGCTGCAGCAGCAATACCAGGCTAATATGTACTACCCTGCGCAAATGGATTCTTCGTCACAGTACAAGGATCCAAGTGCGGCGGCGGTGGCGGTGAATACATCTGGAGGTTATTATAATGCCAACAGTGCCTATCCTCCACCCCAAGAGCATTACACACCACAACAGCATCAAAGCACATCTATCCTTGGTGCCTCCACAGCAGCTGCAGAGGTGCCTCATGGAGACGAGGCCAACAGGAAACGTACCCGGTCAGCAACGCCGCAGGAAAGTAGTGACGATGAGGATGATGCTGGACGGGAGTTGATGTTTGTGATGGAAAACGGGGTTGCGAGGGCCCTTCCCAAATAAAAAAGAGTAAACGCAACAAGTGTGCACGCATAAAAACCGCAACAGGAAGAAGGAGGAAAGAGTCTCCACACCCAAATGACAAAATGGAACAGAGAGAAAGAGAGGTTAAGAGTGTAATTTACAGATGATGCGAAAGGAATAGCAATATAAAAACAGGGAGAGAGAGAGAGGAGGCGCGCTGTTGGGGTTCCCTTGGTGTAGAGACGCCAGATGCGCATGCCCAGAGAGGAAGCGTGGACTTGCTTCTGCACTTACGGCATGCATGCAGCATGTGGTCACTTGGGTTCAACGGCGAAACGTGTAGGTGTAGGTGTCGTTGGACAGTCCCATGGAAAATACCACGACCTGTTTTTTTTTTTGCTGGCGTGTGCGGGGCGAGGAGATGTTTCTTGCCATCAAGGCGCCCTCTTCTATTGTCCTTTGGATTATCCTTTACTTTGCCTATCATCTGACCCTTGCCCCCTCTTAACTTGACGTATGGTGGAGTGCAGTCAGCTCCTCGTTTTGCTGTGGACCGTTTGACACTCTTTCGGAGTCCCCGCGTACAACGGAGATTGCCTTAACTACGGCGCAACGAACGTGAGACGAAGCAGCTTCGACCACTTGCTGCCACAAACACGGGTGGACGGCGTTTTTTTTCTTTTTTTTCTTTTTTTTTTCCTTCTTTATTGTCGTTCTTGTTGTGTGTGCAAACTGGCCGGTGAGGCTGTTTTTCCTCTAACGGTTGGGGAGCGTCAACGAGGCCGGTAGACCCATGAGATTTTTTTTTTTGCTGATTGCTGTTTTGGTGGTGAAGCCTCTTGTGTGGTGCCTGTTAGCAAAAGTTTCTTTTGACTCTTCTCACGTGGTGCCACGCTGAAGTGGCTCTTACCCCCTCGTTTTTTTTTTTTTTCTTCGCAGTCTGCTTCGTCTGTAGACCTCCGAAAGACGCGATGCTGCGTGCCCCGGCTCCCAGTGATGTGTTTGGCGATCGTCCTTTCTCCGTCTTAGCGAAGGAAACTGTTTATTCTGCTCATCTATTGCCTGTCTTGTCTTCGCAATGTATATGTTGCATAGGCTCCGGGGCATTCGGCACTGTCCGCCTCGCCTGGTTGCAGGAGCGGAGGACGTGCTGCAAGCGCATTATGACAGCTGCCGGTGATAGAATGGAAACAACGGTTCTTCTTGGGGCCTGTGCTGCTGTGGCAGTGAAGCGCGTGGTCATCCCCGAGGCGAGTGACGGTAAGGGAGATTCCCTCCGACAGCTGTTGCTACGCGAACTCCAGGTGATGGAACGTATTCGCATGCATCCACACCCAAACATCGTGCAGTGTTGGGGTTTTCTTTTTGGAAAGAGAGACAAAGAACGGACCCCCGACCTTTGGAACTTCTCAAGCGACAGCAAAGGCACTAGCAGGGATGGGACGCTTCTTACAAGCCTTAAGAATGAGAGACAACTGATGGCGTTTGGTGATGACACAAACACAGGCGAGGAGTTGTCGGTCCAACAAATTCTGGAAGGAGCCTCGTACGTTGATTTGTGTCTCTCACTCTGCACTGGGGGTACACTAGGGGACTATGTACTTCACAAGGCCAGACAAACCTTTTATGAAGCGACGGCTGGTACGTACTTTTCAATTTTTGAATTACCGGTGGAAGCTGGCACAATGGCATTTGAAAAAATGAGTATCGATGACATCAGCGGTAACCAGGGACTAACTGGAAGCACCAGTGAAGGCACCTCGTCATTCACCTGCAACGATGATTGCAGTGCAACTCACACCCATCCGTCAAATAATTTTGCTGAAGAGAAGGAATCTGCCAAGGCGAATTCAAATTTTTTGCCAGCATCCCTTACATTCCCCGCTCGCCTTGCAGTTCCAGAGCGTGACATTGTCGCCATTGTGTACGCGTTGGCCAATGCACTTCGCCACACGCATGACACCTTAAGGACGTTGCATCGTGATATTAAACCTTCAAATGTGTTGATATTCAGTGGAGTGGGAAGGACACCACAATACGCGCTGCAGTCTTCCTCCCTTTTGTGTGAGGCATCCCGTGGAGAGGGTTCGGATGGAAGTGGCACAACTTTTTCGAGTGAAGCTATACCTTTGAGCCCGAGCGAGGATTCCAAGCCAAGTGACACGTTGAGTGACAGTGGCGACTCGGTGGAATTTGCCCTTTTTTCTGAATGTCCAGCGACTCTTCAGGGATCAACGACAGAAGCGCTGCGGTATGGATCCGAGAAGAAACATGCGACACCAGCGTCAGAGGCAGAAGTATCCAATGCGATGGATGAGCCCCCCGCAACATTGGTGGTGCCACTGGGATGCGGACAATACCGCCTGCCATATGTTGCCGGAGAGTCTCCTCGGAAAGTTTACATTGATTACCTGCCGCAGGTCGAGGGATGGCGCATACAGTTGGCAGATTTTGGGGTTGCCACTGGTGTGGGGCAGCTCACAGGCTCAGGAAGGTGTGGCAGTCCTCCGTTCATGGCTCCCGAGGTTGTTAAACACGTGCACAAGGGTGTCTCCACGATGTATGATACGAAGGCAGACATTTACAGTCTGGGGGTGACGCTGCAGTATATGCTTTTGCACCTTGTCGTTGGGTGTGAAGCAGGGGGTCAGATACCGCGCAGCCACACGGAAGCCTTGGGGGCGCAGTGGGTCGACGAGGAGGGCACCGCAACACAATTCCATGTGGCGGATGACCCGGAACCAACGGGGCAACTGCAGTTTCTTGTACCTAACGCCTGGCGCTGTGACCGAGAGCTCGTTGAGGGACACTACATCCGCTCCGCCTCACTGGAAACGAAACTTTCTACACCTAATGTGGATGAGGGCAAGGGGGATAAAAGTAAAGGAAAAACCTTTGCTGTTCCCCGTGCCTGGCGTTGCCGTGATGAATTGTTGGAAGGCCGCTACATTCGCTCTGGGTTGCCATCAAGCGGAGGTGGCAGTAACATTCATTTGCTGCATCTTTTCACCCCTCTGGCAGAGGGATTCAAGGTTGTCAGGGGAGCCCACACAGTGAAGGAGCGTCGTGGAACACGATGCAGCTCATGTGGAAAGCTTCATCGACACCTCATTGAACTGTTAAACGTCATGACAAGAAGGAAAGCGTCGCAACGTCCACCGTTATCAACAGTTCTTCAGAGTGCTGCGATTATTGAACAAGGCAGCTTTCTTCATGCAAGAAAATCTTTTGCCTCTTATTCTTCTTCTCCTACCTCTGTTGGTGCTGTTGGCGTTGACGAGGGTAATATCATTTCCCCCACGGTCTTAGATTCCTCTGGGAGGAGGAGAAACTCAGCTGATCGCTTACACCGTGCACATCGACGGACACAAGAAAAGCTTCGTGTCCGTTCTCCCCCCACAGGATTTCGCTTAGAAATGACGCAGCAGCAGCAACAAAATAAAAGCCAACAGAAAAGCTGTGATGGCGGTGAATATGACACAACCGTGTTGCTGTGGCGTCCACCCTCCCTCCGTTTTCTTCGGGCGTCTCATACCAGGACGAGGATACGCACTGAATGAATGTATCTATTGGTATTTGTGTGGTGTCGTGAAGAAGGATATGGGGAAAGGGAAACGTGATCAGTTTTCGTCGTCTTGTCTTCGAAGAATAGGCAAGGTGCAAGCTATCTTTGCGTGGGATTTGAAGTTTGCCTTTAGTGGGATGTTTTTAAATGGTTTATACTTTTCTTTATTAATGCCTTTTTTGAAGTTTTGTTGATTTGTGTGTTTCTACAGATTTGTTTTTTTTTTGCTGTTTTTTGTTTTATTACTTTGATTCGGACATGCTTTAAACGCGGGGAAAATAGTGCACAGAAATACGGGGTGGGGAGGAAGGAAACTCGTGGATAAATGGCGGTGGTGCGCTTGTGCGTGTTTGCCTTCTTGTCGTTTCGTGCTGGCGCTGTGATTCTCCGCAATCACTTTTTTGTTTTTGTTGTGACGTTGTTTTCCTCTCTATCTATCTATCTATCTATCTATCTATCATTTTTTTTGCTGCACGTGGGTGCGGTGCAGAGGGCAGGAAATGAACACTGACTCTGCCTGTTCGTCAAGGCGGCTCCGAGCGTGCTGTGCGGGGAATGGGGCGAACGGTGTAGGCCCACACCGTGATCGTGGGGAAACTACGAGGGTCGGCGATGACGCCCTGCGTCTGTTTCTAGAGCGCTCACGCCAGCGGGCGGCGCAGCTGGAATTCCGATATCTGCACCAGCTGCAAGGGTGCTCAACGCTCCCAGGCGCATCGACGCCACGGCCACAGCCAAAGGAGGAGGATGAAAAGGGTCCAGCCGCAGCGAGGGGCACGCGAGGCACAAGCCGCGGCAGCCCGCGTGTCGATTATCTTAGCCTTATGGCGGCCGACGATGCGGATGTCATTGAAATTCAACTGGAGGATAGTGACGACGATGATAATGTGGAATGCATGAATGGGGTGGATACAGAAGAAAGGTTGATGTCATGCAGATTTGCGTCTACCTCTTCTACTGCAGCTACAACATGTTTTACTTCCACGGCGGGGAAGAAGACACCACCGCATTTCGTGCCGGCTTCATTTACGCCGCAGAGTGAGTCCAACTCTCAGGGCTTGTCACCGGAGGTGTACACGCCGTTTGCGTCAGCACCAGAAGAAGTCCTTGACCGTCATGCTGTCTCGGCCATCAAGGAAAGCATTACAATGAAGTATGACAATGTGGCGACCCCTAATGTCGAAGGGGAAGCCGTAGATGCTTTTATGGGTAACTCAGCCAAAAATATTTGTGCTGGAGAAGTTGCAGCACAACCAGAGACCGTCTTGCCTACCTTTGGCGAATGTGACGATCAGCAGCAAGTGATGCGGTGTCTAATGCACGCCTTTGCAAATCATCTTGACTCTGAAGCCTCACAAGTAGTGCACGATCATTCACAATCTCCAACCGCAAAAGAGCTATTGGATCCAGAGTTAGAAGAATACATTGCGTGGGAGGCGGCAAAACCATTGAAACGTCGCGAAAGCCTCCAAGCTGGTTTGAATTGTGTCTCCTACCTGGCCAAGATATACGCAGCGGCTCAGCCAGAGTTGTGTAGTTCGGCGCTGTTTGACGCGCCTGGTAAAAAACTGGCTGAACCGCTGATGCCCGAGTGCCCACCCTCACGCTACATTCAATGGATAGCCAGTGAGGTAGACTGCTACGAGGATCTTCTTTTGCATTTGACGCCGGCCAGTAGAGAGGCGGAGCGGAGAGTGGTGGAAGGCGTATGTGAGACGGTACTGAATGATTATATTACGAGGTGCGTGGTGGACTGTATTCTTCACAGCTGCAATGCGGCCGCATCGTTTTGGTCGCAAGACAAAGAGAAGCAGCCAAATCAAGCGCATGGGGGAAATGCCAAGAGTGGAGAGGGAGGAGGAGGCGTGCATGAAAGAGGAGGTGGCTCACCTCATAGCAAGTCATCGCGCGTAACATATTTATAGAAGCACAATATACTTTTAGACTCTGACGCGGGAAATTTGAGTTATTAATGACAAACAGCGCTGTGTTTGGGAGTTTGCTGCTGAACATTCAAAGCAAAACAGACTAAGAAAGGGACAAGGAGAGGTGGAGGAAGAGAACGGGGAGTTGTGAGTTAACGTGAAGGCGCCGTCGTTCTCTCTGTTTCTAAGTGACTCATTCTGATCGACGTGTACCTGCCTTTGTATTCACCTTTTTTTATGAAAAACAAAACGACATTGTTTGTCTACTACGCGTGGCTAAACACGTGCATACATAAGAAGAAGAGGAAGCGTGTGACTCGGTTTTGAACTTGGACAACCAAAAGAATAGATTAGTAAATGAAACAAACAACGACAGAGGATATTAGGTTCTCTTATTGGAAACCTCCCACGGCAAAGATTACGTCGACGCCTTAACACCGTACCGCAGCAGTGATGGTGGCTTATCCTGATGGTTGATGGATGTTGAGTTGTGGTCCCACCCGCGAGAACTTTAAAGGGGACCGTAATCTCACCCAAGTCCTCGACCCACGCTACGTGAATTTGAATTGCTTTTTTTTTTGCATTTGCGCTTCGTATTGATGCTATCCATGGGGGGGGGGGGGGACGCTTTTTATGGTAGAAGCTGCACCATAAAAAGAAAATGTGGGGAATTTATTTTTTTTCCGCATGGAGCAGATCTTCACATTTATGGCTTCAATAGGCTCCGTGGGGATGGGCAATGCTGAGGTTGAATGGAAAAGCTTCAAGCGCACTGGTGCTTCTGTCCTTCCCAAACTTATTTCATATACGTTGACATTTTGAGGTGGATCAGAAAACATAGATCGATGGTCCTCACTTCAGATTTACCAAAGCATTACAGGTCTTCTTTTCATTGCATTTCTTCATGGGCCGGCGTTCTGCTTTCCAGTTTTTCTTGTATTAATGAACTATGTTATAGTTGTCCTCTTTGTGCGTTACAAGTTCTCATATCGTGTGTTTATGGCGGTCACGTGGCTGTTGCAGCTGACAATGCTATTCACCGTTAGCCTTTACGGCGAAGAACTGACGTCGGACTTAGCACCCATATTGAAGTCAATGTGGCAGAGCAAGTTCCGCTGGACTGTTGTTTTTAACATGTATACTCTCCGCATGATTGCGTTCAACATGGACACGTATGAGGCATTTAATGACGGTCCAGCCCAGCAGGAGCGGGCGGCACGTAAGCACGACACGAATTGCGTGGAGTGTGCACAGATGCGAGACGCCAACCACGGTGAGGGCACTTCCGTCACACGGTGCTACCGGTTCCGTACAGAGAGCTCTTGCCACCCACGTGAATACAATGTGTTGAGCTACATTGCATACATATTGTATGTTCCGCTCTATGTGGCGGGACCCATGTCGTCCTTTAACGCCTTTGTGTCGTATTGCCACCACGCCACTGTTGCTATGTCGCGTCGGCACATGTTATTCTACGCCCTGCGTGCTCTTAACCTGTACGTAGCGCTAGTCTTTATGCTGCATTTTGTTTTTGTAAATGCCTTTCGTTTGTATCCAGAAGTGTTTTTTCAGCTGAGCATTGGCGAGCAGGCGTTTCTTTTATACTACTCCTTGGCTTTTTTGTGGCTGAAATTCAGTCTCATTTGGAAGCTTAACCGTCTGACTGCTCTCTTGGACGGTTTTGACGTACCCGAGGACATGCGTCGGTGCTTTTCTAACACTGTGAGCATCCGAGACTTTTGGCGAGATTGGCATGCCTCTTTTAATTTGTGGATTGTGCGCTACATGTATATACCAATGGGCGGAAACAAGAGGAAGCACCTCAACATCTTCCCCATCTTCTTCTTCATCGCCATTTGGCACGACATTGAGCTTTGGATGATACACTGGGCATGTATTATTTGTGTCTGCTTTCTTGTGGAACTTTTTTTTTCCAGTACGTTTTTAAAAATAACTTTTACACTGATGTTTTTTATTAAACGGACTTTATATTGCCCTTGGAGCTGCGTAGTTTTTGGGTCACATACAGGTATGCAAGATTGTTGTTTGCTAGTATTATGGGTTTTAATGAGCTGCACTTGGGGGCTGGATATGCGTCGTACACAGGACAAATTATTATTGAGTCTTCTACGACGTTTTTTTCTTGGTTGTTAGCGGTTGTGTGGAGCGGCATACTTGTGGCTCTTGCGTGTCGTGATTGTGAGTCGGGAACGGAGCGGTGCGAACAGTGCTGAGACGTTTTGGACGCATCAAGAAGCGTCATGGAGTTTATTGGTTTCTATTTTATCTGCTCAATTACTTAAGCGACATGCTGGGCGTAGATTTATAGTGTGGGTGATGTCGTTTTTACTTTTTTTACATTCTTATCTTCCTCCAAGCTCTGCTGACGATGGGGCGTGTGATCCACTGCACGGTTACGACAACACACTTCCTCATCTCCCAGAAATTTGCGGAAGGAACGTGTGACCAGGTTGGTCCAAATGCGTTGTGGCGCCGCTTCTTTGGCCACCCTGTTTTGTTTGTACACTACCCCATATTTTTCTCTAAATATTATCGTGTTGGAATGTAAAGGCAATCCAGCTTTATGGAGTTGTTGACCCGTCTTCTCACTGACCTAATAAAACTTCTAATATCCTTTGCGCGGAGGATTGCGGTGATTGCGGCTCCCGAGTAACTGCCACTTTGTGAACCTTCAAAGATGCCCGGTTGTCACACAACACATTTTGAATTTATTAGTGTATTCGTTTGATTTGTGTGCGTGTCCTATCACTTTTTTTTAAAAAAAAATTTGGTGGTTGATGCTGGGCGCACCTTGAATTAAACTGTCGCCTCCCATTATTGCTTTCTCTCTCCTTTTTCGCTGTCGACATAAAAGGAAAAGCGCCAGACCCAGGCGCATAGCTGTTTTTTTTTTTGTATTCACTTTTTTTTTCTGTTTCTTGTTTTTAATCCACTTCGTAGCCGTGGGGATATTTGTCGCCGCGTATCGTAGTGGTCTTTGTCGCATGTTTGGTCGTCGTGTCTTTGCCAGCGCAGGTCTGCCGCGCCACATGTGGACCTCCCTTCACATTCAAAACAAACGGCAGGCGCACCGCGTCCTCCCGTCCCTCGCGCTGTTGTCATCACTGGAGAGGGGTGGAGTCATGTTGAAATCGTGTTTGACACCCACCACACTTGCGCAAAGTGGCGTTCATGCAGACGTTCTACCCAGCGAGGAAGGTTTGTTGGCACACTGCATCGCAGGGATGCCGTTTCTGACGGCTGTGTTTTTTAACCCGCATAATTTTGTATCGCCATGTTTAGGGAAGAACTTCTGTGCATTGTGGCGTGTGCTTGGGACACCAAAGCATTGGAAAGTGGCAGCACAAGGGGCGTAGCAGGCACTACACAGGGAGATTGTGTAATATTGTATTTATCTTTTCCCCGTTATTTAATTTTTTTTTGTTTTTCACACATGCACTTTGGCCTATGTGATGTTTCAGTCGCAGCATCGATTTCGCCCTACGTATTTCCATTTTTCGTACCGCATAGCGGAAAAAATGCGTGGGAAAAACGAGAGAATTGAAGGAATTGTCTGCTTATTTCTGCTGACTGATGCCTTTTTGGCGGTTGGGGATGCTTTGTGTCCCGTATTTTTACTGAATTAAAGGACAGGGGGGTGGACGGAAAACTGAGGAGTGAGGAGTGAGGGTTTGTGACGGTCCTTTTGATTCTATTCTGCTTCATGCTTTGTTTTTTTTCCCCCCACATTTACTTGTAACGACGCATGCAGTAGTGTATACAGTCGCAGCGTTTTTCATCCTGGCAAAAAGATATTAGGAAGTTAAGCAGTGGAGGCAAATGAACGGCAACACGGCAAAACAGATGCTCTTGCGGGTTGAACCACAACTCGCTTTGCCTACCGTGTTGCACGTAAAAAAGGGGATGTCGGCGACTGATTCCAAAGAATCTTCAAACGGGGACAGTTCTTCTCACTTAAAGGCCCGCTGTTCTGTAGAGTATATCTTGTATAGTGTCTTTATGGTAGGTACTGTCTCTTACGGCTTTGGTGTCTTGTCGGAAGCCTCGCGGTTGTATGCTAAGCAGCTTAACGTTCAACCACCACGATGGAAATGGTTGTCGCGGCCACCTTTCAATTCAGTTGGTTACAACAATCGAGGTGACGGCCAATGGGCAGTCCTGGACCGATGGCTGTGGCTTCTGCTCCCGTTCTACGCCTGTTTTGTAATTGGGTCTTGTGTGGTTCGACAGGCATTTTTGTAGGACCAATGGGCCTTGTGCACTTCAGATTTACCAAAGCATTACAGGTCTTCTTTTCATTGCATTTCTTCATGGGCCGGCGTTCTGCTTCCCAGTTTTTCTTGTATTAATGAACTATGTTATAGTTGTCCTCTTTGTGCGTTACAAGTTCTCATATCGTGTGTTTATGGCGGTCATGTGGCTGTTGCAGCTGACAATGCTATTCACCGTTAGCCTTTACGGCGAAGAACTGACGTCGGACTTAGCACCCATATTGAAGTCAATGTGGCAGAGCAAGTTCCGCTGGACTGTTGTTTTTAACATGTATACTCTCCGCATGATTGCGTTCAACATGGACATGTATGAGGCATTTAATGACGGTCCAGCCCAGCAGGAGCGGGCGGCACGTAAGCACGACACGAATTGCGTGGAGTGTGCACAGATGCGAGACGCCAACCACGGTGAGGGCACTTCCGTCACACGGTGCTACCGGTTCCGTACAGAGAGCTCTTGCCACCCACGTGAATACAATGTGTTGAGCTACATTGCATACATATTGTATGTTCCGCTCTATGTGGCGGGACCCATGTCGTCCTTTAACGCCTTTGTGTCGTATTGCCACCACGCCACTGTTGCTATGTCGCGTCGGCACATGTTATTCTACGCCCTGCGAGCTCTTAACCTGTACGTAGCGCTAGTCTTTATGCTGCATTTTGTTTTTGTAAATGCCTTTCGTTTGTATCCAGAAGTGTTTTTTCAGCTGAGCATTGGCGAGCAGGCGTTTCTTTTATACTACTCCTTGGCTTTTTTGTGGCTGAAATTCAGTCTCATTTGGAAGCTTAACCGTCTGACTGCTCTCTTGGACGGTTTTGACGTACCCGAGGACATGCGTCGGTGCTTTACTAACACTGTGAGCATCCGAGACTTTTGGCGAGATTGGCATGCCTCTTTTAATTTGTGGATTGTGCGCTACATGTATATACCAATGGGCGGAAACAAGAGGAAGCACCTCAACATCTTCCCCATCTTCTTCTTCATCGCCATTTGGCACGACATTGAGCTACATCTGTTAAAATGGGCGATGTGTGTTTTGATAATGTTTGTATTGGAGCTTTGTGTAGGTTTTATATGGTCTTTACCATACTTTGCGCGGTTACGCTGCTCAAGATACCGACGTCTTATTCGCTCTTTTGGGGGACTGTTCACCGTTTTTGGTTTGATTGTCGCGAACCTAATTGGTTTCTCTTCTCAGGCGCCTACAAGTAACGGGCGTCCGATGGACCAAGTCATTTCCGAAGGGTTACTCATGGTTAGTCCTATCTTTGTCGTTACGTTGTTGCTGTTTTTGTACTGCGCCGCAGCATTGGGCATCATGAACCGCGACATGGAGGCAGCAGAGGTGCGGCGGCTTAAAAAGGCGCATAAGCTTTTTGGTGACGCCTAGGAATGTGCAGCAGAAAAGAAGGAAAAGAAAATTAAGGCGTGAACTTTGGAAGGAGTGGGCTTATGAGTAGTCAAATGTACCCCTAGAAAAAGCACACTTGTGCGTGTGTACCTGGCTCCTCTACAATTATGGTGGTTTGCTAGTTATATAACTTAATCTTTTTGTGTATTGTCGTAGTTTTTTTTTGTTTATTTAGTATTGTGAACTTTTGTTAATAGAATGAAAACCCATATGGTTCTATGTAGTTGGCCGTGGATTTAATGAAAATGTCTTTTTTTCGTACTCATTGGTTGATTTAGATTCTAATATGTTATAGTGTTGGAATGTAAAGGCAATCCAGCTTTATGGAGTTGTTGACCCGTCTTCTCACTGACCTAATAAAACTTCTAATATCCTTTGCGCGGAGGATTGCGGTGATTGCGGCTCCCGAGTAACTGCCACTTTGTGAACCTTCAAAGATGCCCGGTTGTCACACAACACATTTTGAATTTATTAGTGTATTTGTTTGATTTGTGTGCGTGTCCTATCACTTTTTTTTAAAAAAAAATTTGGTGGTTGATGCTGGGCGCACCTTGAATTAAACTGTCGCCTCCCATTCTTGCTTTTTCTCTCCTTTTTCGCTGTAGACATAAAAGGAAAAGCGCCAGACCCAGGCGCATATTAGACGTTGTCTGACACACAAAGGCTTTGCGGGAAACCAAGCAAGAAGAAAGGTGTTGAGTTTTTGTGGGCAATGAGCGAATGCGACGGAAGTTATAGGGAGGATAGCCGAAATGTAATGTATCCCCCATTTCTTAAGAGGAACTCAATCGAGTATCTTTTTTGCGTCGGGACGCTTTGCATTGGGGTGGTGTACTTTTTTTGCATTGACATTGGGCGGGTGTCATGCCAACACGCTGCATTACTTTCGGACTCACTTGTACCCGCGTGGCCACCCTTTTGTTGTTTAGGCTCAAATGGTATGGATGTCAAGGATACACAGTGGTATCAATTTAGTCTGGTGCTCCCTATTGTTATTCCAGCCTTCGCTTTTTTTCTTTGCATTTCACATCGACTTCGGAGGCGTGAAACTGGGAAGAAGTATGTGCAGTTGCACATACTTCATATTATTTCGGGTTTGGTGATAGGCTTTGGTATCAGTGGGCCGAGGTTCTTGTTTACGATTTTTCTTCTTCTGGGAAATTTCTATGCTGTGGGAAAGCTGCAGAAGACGACTTCCACGTTGTTTATGACGATTATGTGGGGAACACATATCGCACTCCTTTTTATTAACAGTTACTTTGATGGTTACCGTTTTGCCTGGTTTGGACTTGAGTTTCTAGACACAATGGTGGATCCACTTATGCAATGGACGGTGCATTATAACATGAGCGTGCTTCGTATGATCGCATTTAACACAGACATGCGCGAGGCCATTGTAGCAGCTTTGGAGCGACGTCAAAAAACGACGGAAAAGCATGACATGTCATGCATTGAATGCGCAGAGATTCGTGAGTTAAACACCCACAAAAGAGATTGCTCTGTATCTTTCGGTTTAGGTGTTGAGGGCTTGCGCTGTTACAAGTTTCGCACAGAGTATCCGCTTGATGTGGGCGAGTACAATCTACTGAGCTATCTTGGTTATATTTTTTACCCTCCACTTTATATAGCGGGACCCATTTCTTCTTTTAACGCGTATGTATCGTACTTGAAAGAGCCTTCGCGGAGGATGGATAGAATGGCGTTGCTACGCTACGCTCTACGCACGGTGTTTAGTTTCCTAGTTATGACGGCCACGGTGCACTACGTTTATGTGGTTGCAATACTGATGAATGAGTCAGTGTTTACATCCATCTCCTTTTCCAGGCGGGCCGTTGTACTTTTTCTTGTTCTTGTCTTTTTATGGCTAAAGTTCAACTGCGTGTGGAAATTTTTTCGGTTTATTGCTCTCTTGGACGGTTTTGACGTACCCGAGGACATGCGTCGGTGCTTTTCTAACACTGTGAGCATCCGAGACTTTTGGCGAGATTGGCATGCCTCTTTTAATTTGTGGATTGTGCGCTACATGTATATACCAATGGGCGGAAACAAGAGGAAGCACCTCAACATCTTCCCCATCTTCTTCTTCATCGCCATTTGGCACGACATTGAGCTTTGGATGATACACTGGGCATGTATTATTTGTGTCTGCTTTCTTGTGGAACTTTTTTTAACGCAGGTCGTATTTCATTCAAGGGCGCCGATTGTCGTGGCGTTGGAACAACGTCCATTGCTCTATCGGTACATACGCACCATTGGTGCATGCGCAGTTATGCTGCAATTACTTATTGCAAATCTTGTGGGTTTTGGCGTTGGGCTTGACAAAGCACGACACAATGTAAGGGCACTGTGGACAGAATCTCCCCTGTCCTTTCGCCTCCTCATGGTGTTTTACTTTTATCTGGCAGCCACTGTAGCTATTCAGCACAGGGACCAGGAGAAGTTTGAGGAACAGCAGCGCCGCGTCAAGTACGGTCTCGTAGGTGGCAAGGACAAGACACCGGGGTCGGCCCAGGCGGCGGCTACTGCCGTTGTGGTGATTGGCGATGGAGAGCAGCCTTTGAAAAACATACAAATAATTTGAGGTATTTATGACGGTAGACCCGGGTGTTATATATGTATATATATGCGCCTGTTGTTGTTGTTACTTTACTGCGACAGCATACTTATCAATGTGCAATGGCGAGGCAAAGCAGCGTGGTGAGAGAAGACATAATGAGAGGGTTCTAGGATGGGCGGGAGTGGAATATAGCGTCGGTATTTTGCTTATTTCTGTGTTTAAGCTCTTGCAAATGGAATGGTGTGGCTTCACGGGTGTCTCACAAAAACGTCCTTGAGTATATTCCTTAAAAAAATTTTTTTTACAACTTTTCTGGCATATTGTGAGATGAGGGATCACTCACCCCCAACCCTTCCCGCCTTGCGCGGAGGGCGGAACAAAGACGTTTCCGAAACTTTCATTGTTTTTCTACTATTTACTGAGATATGGATTATGGAGGCGACGTCTGGGGGTTCTCTCTCTCTCTCTCCATATATATATATATATATATATATATGCTTGGTGTTGAACAAATATCTATGTGGGGTCATTGCAAAGGATAATAAGCGTAAATGGAATATATATATATAAACGTAGAGGGAGGACATGGGGGCTGTTCTTGGTTTGTGAAGGAGGTGGGGTGTTTGTCACTCCTTGCCCAACACGCAACGGAAAAAACAAAAAAAAACTTTATTGGAACGAGTTTGTACTGTGGATGCTCAGCAGTAGCGCCTTGAGTAATGGCTTTCGAGGGCCCTTGTTTTTTTTTTTGTTGTTTGTTCTTCTTCCTGATGGACACTCATTTTTATTGATAATCCGTTTTTTTTTTTTTTCGTTCGATAAAAAACTTTTTCCAGACATCGGCGTGGGAGAGGTGGGGGTGAGGGCAGGGGTTTTTATGTGCATACGACTTGTGTTCTTCCGTCTTCTTCCCCGTTCACTGAGTGGTATGAGGAAGTAAAGCAAAAATAATTAATGATGGATTAGAATAATTTTTTTTTTTTAAGTAGAAGATTATGCTTAGCAATTTTTGTTTTATCTTTTTACCATAATGACGGATTATTTGTACGCTTTCTTTATTCCTGCTCCTATGTCGCTTCTCGTCGGTGACTCGTGCTGCTACCATCAGAAACTCTCACGGGTCTCTCTGGAAACCGCAGGAGGTTGTATATATATGTCTATGCGTATGTGTGTATATTTCTCTCTTTGTGTGTCTTTTTTTTTGTAGGTCTTGTGGGGTTTGTGGGAGGATGGATACAAGTCAGTTGGTCTCGTTCTATACGCATTACCAGCTGCTTGACGTTTTGTTAGGTTTGCTTCTGCTTATAGTCTCCGTGGTATTTTCTAGTTGGTCTTCCCCCTACTGCCGTCCCTTTAGCTGGACTGACCCAACGATTGATTACCCTTATTTCACGAGTGTGACGTTTCCGACTTGGACGCTTGTTGTTTTTATTGTGTTGGCGTTGCTTCTTTACACCGCAGTAGTGAGTTACCTTGGGGGCACTCTCTGGGTTTGGCTAAAGGCGCAGCTTTTGGCGGTCATTTCGCAGCTGGTGGTGGTTAATATGCTGAAGGTCTACGCTGGACGAATCCGCCCCGATTATTTGAACCGTCTGCGAAGTTTGGGGTTTAAGGAGGAATCGCACCAAAATGCTGGTATGAGTGGCACAAGAGCTGCGGAGTATTACTGCAGGCTAGGGGATGAGCACCGCGTGCTGCGTGAGGGACGTCTTTCATTCCCTTCAGGGCATAGCTCTACGTCGTTTGCAGTGATGACGTTTATGTCTCTTTTCTTGTTTGCATACACGCGCCCCTCAGCGCGCGGGGGAAGCTTCTTCCGTTTGCTGATGTCTTTGTCGCCCATGGTCATTGCCTTCCTGTGTGCCGTGAGCCGAACGCGAGATTATTGGCACCACTTCGACGACATTGTGGCTGGCGCCTTGTTAGGGAGCGTCAGCGCGTTGCTGTGCTTCTACAATGCTTTTCGGATCACAGAGGGTGGCTTGTGTGTTGCAAGAGCCATCGAGTTAATGGAGCAAGAGGAACGCGTGGAAGCGACCCCACATGACCCTCAGATAACCGTGATTGCTGGTTGAAGTACAACCCATACCGTTTTTAATATATATATATATATAATACAATACAAGGGTGTGAATGGAGTTGTGTTGTGAAGGAAAACCGCTGTTATTGGAGCAGGACAACTCCACGAAGTGTAAAAATAAGATACATGCATGGCTGCTATTAACAGATGCATTATATTGGGGATGATGCAACTGCCTATTACAGTCGGCTCCCGTTATGTTTTAAGAGAGCATAGACAATATAATTGTGGTAATTTTTGCGAGAAGTGACCCTCTGCCGAGGCATAGTTTATTATCTTGGTGGATATGTCCACTTGCAGGCACACACGCATCTGTGCACGGTTTTCTTCCTGTTTTACCTCTTTCTCGCGCCTACTCTTCAAGGAGTTAGTTTTTTTTTTTTTTTTTTTGTTTAAAGAGACAACGTCTCTTCGTTTGCTGAGAAAAAGTGAAGGCATGCCTATGTGAGTGTCTGCGAAGCGGAATCTTTTGAGAGTAACGCTCCATGGTGTTCCCTGGTTCAATCGTTTGTTTGTTTCCTTAGTTTGTCGTAGTTGTTGCAGCCGCCGAAGGCGCCTCGGTTTTCGACTCCATCCATGACGAGGCAGATGAGAGGCTGCTCCTTTTTAACCGCTGCATTGGCCTTTTCTGTTGCGGATGCGGTGTATTTCCTCCTGGTGTTTCTGTTTTGCTTCCTGGCCTTGTGTGTGTACCACAAATGTCGGGACCGGTGAGCGCGTCTGTCCCGTTACTGTTGCATGTGACTGGCGTCGGCAACCTCATGTTCCCCGCTTCTCTGTGTACATTTGCTATGCGCTTATATATATATATATATATATGTTGTCCTTGGTCAATTTTGAACTGGTGCCCCCTGCTGGGATTGTCCCCGTTTGATTTGACTGCTTCTGATAAGTGGGCTGCCTCGCCGCCCCGATGCTTCTTCGTTTCCAGTCTCCTCTCTGCTCCAGCTGGTAAACGGGACGACCAAGTGTGTCTTGGTGGGTTTCCTCTCACCAACGACACAAAAACAAAAAAAAGGCACAAAATAAAACGTGGTAAACACAGGAGGAAATTTATCCTTAGATAGTCTCTGCAGCATGTTTGGTCGTCGCGTCTTTGCCAGCGCAAGTCTGCCGCGCCACATGTGGGCCTCCCTTCACATTCAAAACAAACGGCAGGCGCAGCGCGTCCTCCCGTCCCTCACGCCGTTGGCGTCACTTATGGCGTCTTGCCAGCTTTCTTCTGTCGCCTCAGTGCTGAGTGTATCGCAGTCGGTGGGCGTCATGGAGCCACTTCATGGCGATGAAGATCCGCTGATGTCGGCGGCGACGATTGCGTGTCATCGTGGCTACCTCGCTGCCCTCACGGCCTCCTGGTGTATGCCTTTGAGGACCATAGTGTGGATACTAGATAGTAAAGTTCAACATGTGTTCCCGCGAGTTATATCGACTGTTAGTGTGGGCGTGGAGACGGAGAGGGGAGAGGAGAGGAGGAGGGTGCAACGCCCGTGAGGAGGCGGTGTGTCGCGTGATACACGTAGAAGTGGTAGATAGGCATATATATATATATATATATATATATATATACCCCTGTTGCGTTCACTGATTCACAGGAGGCGGGAATACTGGGGGTAACGCGGTAGTCACGTATTTACTTACACAGCTCTGTGTGGGGGTGGGGGCGTGAGGAGGAGCTGGGCGGCAATGAACTTCTAGGGCGAAAAGAAAGAGGAGTAAATGGCTGAGGCACGGATTCAGATGAAAGGCGGAGCTGTGGTTAGTGGATGGCTGATGAAGTCGAGACAAAACATGTCCACCCCACTTCCACTTCCATTGATACCTCGTACAGCAATAACCAAAAAGAGGAAAGATGGACAGACCAGAGAGGTGGGACTGAAAAGGAAGTAAATGAAAGAAGGAAATGATAAAAATGGAAATGAAAGGGGGAAATTATCACTTAATTTATAGCACACATGTTTCCTGTTTCCTATGTGGGCTTGCTTTATTTCTCACTACGGATGCAGGATAAAAAAGTAGGGAGCGAAGACAAAAAAAAAAAAAACAAAAAAAAACATCGTTTACTCTTTGTTTCACTATAAACGCCATACGCATATATATGTGCATATGGTGTTTGCGTTTCTTTGCAGCGACTTCCTCACGCACTGTGAAGGAAAATGTAATTTGGGCGAGGCACTGGGGGACTGTGACCCCGTGGCTGATGCGCACACCTTTTTTTTTCTGTTGGGCTTTGTTGCAGCTAAGACGCACGGGCAAAAGGGCAGGCATTTACAGATCTAACGAAGTTTGAGGTTAGTGGTTGTGTAAGTTTCTTATTGCCGAAAAGAAGTGAAGGAAGACTCCGTTGGGCACCACATCCTTTATATATATTTATATAGTATTTGCTCTTCGGGTGCGAACACCATGCTGTTTACGCTGGACCCGAGGCCAAGTACTGGTGCCGTGGATAGCCCTGCTGCCATAGACGAGTTCACCACGACGGGAAATACGCTTACGCAACTTCAAAACTTTTTTGAACATCACACCTTTGACACGCGCGGGCCGTATTCGGATCTCTTTTCTGTCTTGCTCTCCTGTTGTAAGCATCTCGTTGACACGAACCTGCGCCACCACGCAATTCTCTTGAACCAAAAGCGAGAGGTTACCCGCCTGGCCTCAGAGACAGAGGCACTGTGCGAACTGACTGTACGCTGTCAAGAAGGTGTGCATAAGCTGAAGTCGTCGTCACTGGAGCCACACTTGATGCAGCGGAGGGATCGGTCTCCACTGCGGTCGGACGTCGTGTCCCAACATGTACCTCACGAAATGGGTGGGGAAGTCATTTGGGATCGGCTGGAAGAGTTTGACAGGCATCTCCACGAAACGCAGATGTCCGTGGTTGCGTTGCGCCGTCGACAGGAAGAAGTTGAGGAACGTCTATATAAAGAGCACCATTGGAAAGAGGAAGAAGCAGAGCAAATTCAGAAGTTAGAGGAAAGTATCGACGTGCTAAGGCGTGGTGCCTCAGCGCGTGCCGACTACGTTGACGGGGAAATTTCAACGATGAGGAAACATGTGGCTGCTGCCACTTCTGTCACCTCCCACGTAGAGCGAGTCTCTGCAATGACGCAGTACACCGACATGAAAGTGGAGGCGTTAAGAAGTGAGTTGTGTCTGGCTCTGCGAGAAATGATTTTGGAGGACCACGTCGGTGGGCCAAAATCACCTGTTAGTCAACTATCCAAAGACGGCGTAGCTGGCGCGGTGCCAAACGTCACAGAAGGGACTGACGGCAACGTAGGCGAAGATTGCATGCGACGGGATGACATTGCCGTTGGTCTGCGACGGCTTGCGTCAATAAGATCAAGGTCAATTGCCATCCAAATGGAGCAATTGGAAAACCGAATAGATGCACTTGAGGTGTATGCACCACACCACTTTGCTATGGCTGCGCGTCCTCCTTTGCTGGGAGTTGAGCTGCGCGATGAGAAGGGCATTGGAATTTGCATAGATAAGGTTTTTCGCAATTTTGGTGGTGAAGCTGCTGGAATGATGCCAGGAGATGTTGTGGTTGCCGTAAATGGTCAAGCGGTTTTGACGCGGGCAGAAATGTATGCCGCCATGACGGAGCTGGTGCGAGAGCATCACTCTAGATGTCGTCTTTTGGAGCAACTGTGCTTCAAACAGCATGTCAAGCAAGAGAAGAAGGCTGGTGCTCTTATGAATAGACATCAATATTCCAATTTCCCCGTTGGAAGTGAAGCGGCGACAACAACGCCTGGCCTTGACAGTGACTGGGAACTGCCAAAATTGGAACTGAGGTTTCATCTGAAGCGCGGTGGCCTCCTGCGCGAGGTGGCACTCAATGTTGAGGCCGACAATGACAGTATCTAAAAGGTGATGAAGCTCGAGCGAGGCACCACCAAAAAAAAAAGTGCCATGTGCGGCGAAAGAATAAGACAGATGGAAGTGAAGTACCCTTCGATGGAAGAAATATATACATACATAAAAAAAAAAAACAGCAACTGCCATATTGCTGTAGTATTTTGTGAGACTTTCACCGTCCATTTACACTACCTGTCTTGTTTCTCTTTTCTTTTCATTGTGTTTTTTTTTCCATCTTCCTATTGTATCTTTCGTGGCTCTGTGGTGTGGATGCTTCTGTGCACGTCTAATGCGAGGTCGCCGCTGTGGTGGTGACGCCTCCTCCGTTTTCTCTTGCTGTGCATAACAACTGTTCAGAGACTACGGAGTCCACATTCCCTCCAATAGCGTCTTTCATCTTGTACGCATGCATACAACCATATCTGACTTTTTTTTTTTTGCTTGCACTGATAGTTGCGGTACCTTTTTTTTTGTTGTCGCAACACAACGGAACACTTGAATTGACCTCTAAGCTAAATGCGACAGTGGCTTACCAGTTTTCTTGCCTCTCTTGGAGTAAAACCTGTCATATGCCATGCAGTAGGGGCATGCGGCGGTCACAGCCACAGCCACAGCCACAGCCACCACCATCAGTCGCTAGAGTCTGCAGTAAAAGGGCATCACCTGCGGCAGTGTCAGCTTGTCACAGTCGTCGGTGGAACCACCAACGTCTTTTTATCCTTGATTAAAGTATGGGTTGGGGCCCAAGGAGGTTCGGTGGCGCTTGTTGCCGATGGATTTCACGCCATTGTTGATCTTATTTCGGACGTCATATCGTACGTTACAGTAACACTTTCGGTGAAGCATCTGCCGCGGTGTCGTTTTCCATTTGGTATTGGTCGAATTGAAACTGTCGGCGCAGTTGTGACGGCCTTTATTTTGCTTGTGGGGGGTCTGATGCTACTCCTTCAATCGTTGGGTGAATGTCAGCGGGAGCTCTCTCACCGCGTCTTTGGTGACAATAACACAACTTTCCCCGACCTCCTTCATCACGGTCATAGTCACTTAAATGACGCGGGGACCCAATCGACTGCGAGTGGTCTGCAGGGCCACCATGGTCACTCGCACTTTCAAGTCACATACGTGGATGGGGAGGGTCGTGTGGCGATTCTGTGGACAATGGTATTTGTGTCGGTTGCCTCTATTGCTTTGAAGGAGTTCCTATTTCGTTGGACAAAGCGTGTGGGTGAGCGCGCAGGGTCACGTGTTGTCGTCGCGAATGCGTTTCACCACCGTGCCGATGCATGGTCCGGTGCGATTGTACTTGTTGGAGTGGGGGGTCACTGCGTTGGTATGCCAGGAGTTGACGGCTTAGCTGGTTTGTGCGTTTCGTACAGTATCTGTCGCGTGGGGTACGACCTGCTTCGCGACAGCATCCTTGAGTTTTTTGACTTTCAGTGCGCCGATGACGTGGCGTCTGTACGGCGTGTACTGAAGCAGTACAAAAAGACACCGCTTGTGAACGTGTTTCTCATTCGTCATGGTCATTCCTCCGTGCTACACGTCACTATCCTTGTTGGTGCCGAGACGACGACGGCATCCGTTGTGGAGGCAACATCAGAACTCACTGTCCTTGCCAGGCACAGCGTTGCGGTTAGAGACACCTACACAACACTCTTTGTCTACGACAAGGACAGCGAGGCATCGCTGCATGAGGCTTTGAAGCTGTTGGAGGAATTTCACGGGCTGGAGCCCATCATGTGCCGTTGGGAGTTAAAACAACTTGTTATTCGTCCAACTCTATATAAAGAATGCATGGATGACATAGGCACTGTGGCGTCTCTCTTCGGTCTGGAGGTCATCGTGTCGCAGGATGATTCTCAGTTGGCGAAACGAGATGGAACGTGACACTAACAACAGAAGCATGTCAGACGGCACGAGGTACACACACAAAAAAAAAAGAACTCCTCACTGTCACGAATAAACGATCCATGCGATTTTAAACTGTTTTTTTGTGATGTAGCAGGTGTGTGGTTGGGTGCGTGTGGACACGTTGTCCGAGGCCTCACCACACGATCTTGTTGTTTGAAGTAAAAAAAAAAAAAAAAAAAACTGTTTCTTCTTCTTATTTTGTATGGATGGGCACAATCCGCTTCATCTTCTTCTGCAGGTAAATAAGAGAGGAGAACAACCAAAAAAAAAAAAAGGAAACCGTGCAGGAGTGTGGGTTGGCGTTTGGAGGTTTTTAGTCACTTCCCTCTGTTTCGCGTTGTTTTAGGCGATGGATGATGAGTTTGACAACTTTGATGGGGACTTTGACTTGGACGAAAATGAGTTTTTTGAGGAAACTGGCGATGATCCGTCTGCCGCGGCGGAGTTTGACTACCCGCTCTTCTCCGACGAAGTGCCGCGTCCCGGGGGCGGTAACAGCATGAATACTAACGAGGTGGTGAGAGCCGCACCACCCGCTAGCATTCAGGAGCTCTTTCCCAACGCTGCACCTGATACCGTGCCTGTGATTGTCGGCATCATTGCACAGGCAAAGCTTGGCGTGGGGGTGGATCTTCGCGCCCTGAGTTGTGCGACGCGAAATGTGGAGTTTCTCCCGCGCCGCCGAAATCCGTCGGCGACGATGCGTCTTCATGAGCCCACCGCGGTCATACTGATCCGAACCTCCGGGTTGATGTCTGTTATTGGGGCTGCTAGTGTCAGTGAAGCAAGACAGGCTACCGAACTCGCTGCACGCATCATTAGAAAGGCGCTCAGTCTCGATATTTCCACCGTTCAATTCCGCGTGCGTTCTGTCATGGCGCGATTTAATGTTGGACACCCCATCCGCCTGGAAGAATTAGCACAACACGAGGGCATCTTCTGCAGCTACGAGCCCGATAGATTCTGTGGCTGCGTCGTCCGTCTCTCAGGGAAGTCGCATGACAACCAATGGCAGGTGTGCTGCTCCGTGTTCGTTACAGGTAAGGTAAATATGGTCGGCATTCGTAGCCAGGAGGAGATGATGGACGCATTTTACACACTGTTGCCCATTCTTGCACGCTACTCAAAGAAGTGGGACGCTGAGACCCCAGTAGCCTCCTTCGAGTCTTGAAATGTTTTTGCCTCTGCGTGTTGGTGACAACGTAGGACTGGGATGAGAGAAAATACAAGGGAGAAGGGTGGTAAACACCAAGAAAGGGAGAGGAAGATATGATGAGCGCTAGCACTCAAAAAGATGAGTGGCAAAGCTCAACAAAGGGTGCTGTGTGATACCTGCTTTTCTCTTCTGATGCTGGAACAATATATACATTTCTCCACCTTCATGAATATACTATACACTCAAGGGTTAGCGCGTGAACAGTGGCAAAGAACCATAGAGGAATCCTAACAGTATGTCGTCGTGGGAACAAGTTGTGCAGGAGGCTGACCAGGCCACAAAAGTGAAGGACATAACAGCTGCGCACAAAGTTCTTCACAAGGCTATCGAAGGCGGTCTTCACCATCCACAGCTTTCATGGCGGTATGCACGCTCGCTCTACGAAATGGGGGAAGAAACAACCGACAAAAAGGTGCGACAGATGTACTTCAAGGAGGGACTTGAGTGGGGTAAAAAGGCTGTGGAGGAAGATCCTAACACCGCTGCAGCACACAAGTGGTTTAGTATTCTCCTCAGTGCGCAGAATGAATTTATTGGCTCTAGAGAAAAAGTGGCAAATGCCTACATCATCCGCGACCATTTCCTGAAGGCGTTGGAACTTAACAAAGATGATGCCACCGCACAACATTGCATGGGAATGTGGTGCTGGAATGTACTACAGGTTGGTTGGGTGGAGCGTCAGGCGGCAGCTTTGCTTTTTGGGGCGCCGCCTACCTCTACCCCTGAAGAATGCCTGAAGTATCTTCTTGCTGCTGACGCGTTGGAACCAACCATCCGCAACTGTCTTGCAATTGGCGATGTTTACCTTTATCAGAAGCAAAAGGCAGAGGCAAAGGTCTGGTTCCAGAAAGCTATTGATCTCCCTGCCAATACGCAAGCCAACCTGCGACAACAGGAAAATGCCATGAAGAAATTGGCTTCGTGTTAATCAAGGTGAATTTCACAATGTTCTTGTGGGCTCCAATTTGCCGTTAATGTTTGGTTGAGACTCTGGATTTTGTCTCATGCTTACATATTTTTCACTACGTGTGTAATATATGCGCCCTTAGAATTGGTGTATATATGTGAAGACGAATGGAGTTGTGTGTTTTACACCGCAAACTCTGTTGAGAAAGTAGAACCATGTGGTGATGGCGATTATCTGCTAAATAACATGTGGTGCCGATAACTAACACTATGAATTTTTTGGTTTGTTTGTTTGTTTTCTTTTGGAGTTTGGTGCCCACAAGAGAGAGAAGACTGTGTATACCTTTACCGATGACCCCTCCTCCCTTTTATTCTTCTTTGCTAGTTGGATGGTTGTTTGCTAATTTTTCCTTTTTGTTTTTGTTTTTGGTTGCAGAGTGCATGCAAACTTTTAAAAAACTTCCATGCCACAACCACAGTGGGAACGCAATTTCCCGGTTAGGGAGTATAATTACACCCACACACAGCCACAATGGTTGGATGCATCTCCAGTGGTGTCGAGGTCTCCACTGGCATTAGCTCGTACATGTGCTTCGTGTGGGCAGAGGAAGGAGTTGTGCAAATGCCGTGTTTGTTTTAATTGTCAAAAAAGTTTGCTTCTACGAAGGCATCACTGCCGAAAGTGTTGGCAGGCTGTGTGCTCAGACTGTCGGGAAAAGGTGCGTTATGTTCACATGTTAAGTAAACCAATGAAGGTTTGTGATGGGTGTGCCCTCCCACGCGGAATAGTGACTCTTTCCCGTGCCAAAGGACACGACCATCTATGGGGCCTCTACGTTCTGCAGCGAGCCACAGAGATGCCAAATATATGCGTTACACCTTCTTGTGGTACACAAAGTTATCACAGTGTATGTCCTAAGTGTAGCCTTCCGACGATCACGACACGATTGCATCAAGAACGCGTTATTCGTTTTGGCGCACGGGGGTCGGCGGTAAAGGCGGCTGATTCTGTGAAATACCTAGAAGTTAGGGAATTTGCACTTCGATGCGCCGCAGTGGATAAATGTTCAGCAACGGAGGTGGAAAGGTCATTTCGGGTGTGGTTTCCTCGCTTCCAGGAGATTTTCGCGTTTCCGAAATTAAGCTGTACGGCGGAAGCGCAGCATTTGTTACTTTCTGTTGTTTCGTCAGCAGTGGCCTACGAGTACCGAACTTGTCCAAATCTTCTAATGTCTCACTCGGATGTGCCCTATGCCTGTTTACTAAAACTATTGCGTTCCACATCACGCTACTCCGTATTTGAGGCTCCTGGCAAAGTGAAATTTATTACGTTTCCAGGAACACACAACTATCGCACATTTACTGTAAATATGCGCTGTGGAAGAATACGGCGTCAAGTTTGGTCGCAACTCATTGATGGTGTGACTGCTTTGTTCGATACCAACGCTGAATTTCACCGGGTGTGCGGCGGCGTGCATTTGTTATGGGAGGACTATGTTCACCAAGGCTTTGCACGTGAGGCTGACGAGGCCGCATTGCCGATAGAACAACTTGTCAATGACGTTCGCCAGAATGGATATCGATTGGTCCTTTCAGGGCATTCTCTAGGCGGAGCTGTTGCACAGTTGGTTGCCATTCGCATGCTTCGAGGATACCCAGGAATATTTAAGGATAACATGAAGTGCATCTCCATTGGGGCACCACTGGTAGGCAACTATCAATTGGCACAGTGTGTGGAGCGATGTGGGTGGCAATCTAATTTTCATCACCTAGTCTACCGCTCGGACATTGTCCCGCGACTATTATGCGTCGACCAGATAACTCGGGATTTTGCCGATCAATTCATTAAGGGTCTTTTAGAATTACCAAGTTCACTAAGACGATGGTTCAAGCCAACTTTGGACGCGAAAGAGGCGCCACTTAAGGAGCTGGATGATATTGATGCTCAAATAAAAGAAGCAGAGGGTCCTGTGGAGGTTGAGAAGACACCATTGCCCATAACCAACCACCGCGCCCATCGCATGTACGCATGCTTTGGTCGATACCATTTTCTCAACCACGGCGGGGCCACATACTTTTCCACGGATGATTCTGAGGTGGCGTTTCATCGCCTTAAAGAAGGTTGTGGGGGTGATAACAATTTGCTGGACCATTCCATCTCCAGTTACAACAGGGCCGTTTTTTTGCAACTTCATTTTCAATGAAATCTCTTGGAAATACGCACGCGCAAATGTTCTTTGCGCCACCTCACACGCATTTGTGTTGTTCCTGGTAAAAAGAAGCTCACGCTTTGGAGAACGCGGGATGATCTTTGTTGTTCACTGATCTCGTTCTCTGCCTTCGGGGGAACAGCCCTCTGCCCTTTGGAGGAAGGTTTTTTTTCTTTTTTTTTCTTTTGCGATATTGTGCTTTTTGTTCTGGCGTTTTCTACATATTTTATTATCATTACGTTTTGCATTGCTAGAGATTGAGACATTTTTCTTTGCTGCCATTTTTGTGTGTGTGTGTGTGTGTGTGTGTGTGTGTGTTAGTTTGACAATGTTCTCAGATGCGGGAATGGAGGCGGGCTTTTGCTTTGAGGCTTTGGCAGCAGACAATGAAACCATGGTTGTGGTTAATGTTTGTGGCAACTCATCAGTTGGAAGGGCTTTGGCAAAGAACATGGAGGAGGTTCCAGAAAGCCACTTGGATGAGTACGGCTTGGATAATTTAATTGTCCCAATAGCTGTTGGTCCTGCAGAAAAGTGTGACAGAGAAAAATATAGCTTTTCTATAGATGTTGTTATTCATCCATTACTGACCTCGCGGTGTGTGCCGAGTCACCGTTTATTTGATCACTACATTCTCAGGCTCACATCTTTGGCAATTGAGTGGATTTTGCAGGAATGCGGCATTCGACTTAACCCACGTTCTTGCAAATTAATCACTGATAAAAAATACTTTCAAAATGGTAAGGAAAATTTTAATCAGATACTCTCTAAGATTGCAAAGGCGATGGAGAAAGAAACCACAACGGTTCCTGCGAATGAAAGTAAAGGTGAGGGATTTTCTTTACCTTCTAAGCTTCAGCTAGATGTTTCCCGCAAGAATGATGAGATAACGCCTTCACCATTGATTAAAGAGATGCCCCAAGGTACTGGGATTCGAAAAGGATTTCTTAACGATGTTAGATTGTACGGCGATGGAGGAAGTAGTGAGTGCAAACAACCTCCGCTTGACCCACTTCTCCACCTTCCTGAACAGCTTAGGAAGAGATGCCAGGTGATTGACACGCGTCAAATTAGAAGTGGGGTAACAGATGCTTCAGCGGCAACCGAGCCGGATTCTATAAAAGAGAAACCCAAATTATTACCTTCAAATGTGACAAAGGGAGCACCGACACAATGGGAGGTTCAATCCTTGGTATGCAATGAGCGAGAAATCGTAGTGCGGTTACGTCCTCCGCCGTCTGTGACATCAATGAAAGATGTGGAGCTGATCGCCTTGTCAGATACAATAGAGATTGATGAAACTGTGGTTCGATTGCCCAGGACTATAAAAGTGGAGAATGTGACTGCAAAATTTCTGAAGTCATCAAAAATTATGGTTCTGACTTGTCCCTTGGCATAACATGGGTTACTTTTCCTTTCTATTATTCCTATTTCTTTGGAATAGGGCTGAACTCTCTTTTTTGTCTATAACTTGAATGATTGTTATTTTTTAACCCGACAGAGGCCCTGTTGTCCATAGCCCAGAATGCAGTGAGGACTGGAAGCTTTTCGTCTTTGTTTTCATTGTTGTTATTATTTATTTTCCAAAGGCGTTTTTTTTTTTATTATTGCATAAAAAAAAAAAAAATTGCACAGTGAGAGTTAGTGCAGAAAGGCGTACCGTTGGATTGGTAATAGTGAATAATGGATAAGCCTCAGGAAGTAGCTACCTTGGCAGAGGGTCGAAGGTTATACGTGGTTCAGGGTCACAAGTTTGAGGTAACAAAATCGTACCAACTTATAAAACTAATTGGATGTGGTGCATATGGTTCTGTGTGTTCAGCAATAGATGAGGTTAGTGGCAACCGTGTGGCCATTAAAAAGGTCTCTCGTGTGTTTTCCGATTTAAAAGAAGGTAAACGCATTTTAAGGGAGATGGACATTTTGACAACTCTTCAACACACCAACTTGGTACGCCTTCGAAATTTTGTTCGTCCTTATGGAAGAGATGGTTTTGACGACATTTACATGGTTATGGATCTGTACGATACTGATCTGCACCGCATTATACGCAGCAGGCAGAAACTGACCAATGAACATTACCAATATTTTATGATTCAAGCGTTTCGAGGTCTTTGTTATTTGCATGCTGCAAAGGTTATACATCGAGACTTAAAGCCAAGCAATTTGTTGGTGAATGCCGATTGTGCTCTTGCGATTTGTGACTTTGGACTTGCTCGTGATGACCAGTGGACAGCCTCAGATGCTCTCACGGAATATGTTGTAACACGATGGTATCGTCCTCCTGAAGTATTGGGAATGGGATCACATCAGTATACAAATGCGGTGGACGTTTGGAGCTTGGGGCTTATTTTTGCTGAATTAATGGTAGGTAAAGCATTACTGCCAGGGCCTGATTACATTCGTCAACTCATTATGATTCTGCACTTACTTGGGACACCAACAGCTGAGGACATGGAATTTCTTAGTGATGAGGCCAGAAACTTTCTCTGTGCTCAGCCTCCTCTAAAGGCTCGACCATTCACAGAGATATTTCCTATGGCGACGCCGGAGGCAGCGGATTTGCTCTCAAAGCTCCTTGTATTCCACCCTACTAAAAGACTTACGGCAAAGGAGGTTATAGAACATCCGTATTTTGCCAAGTTTAGGGACCCAGTGCAAGAGGCGGGTCCCAAAGAGCCATATGTATGGCGACACAGCGAAGAACTTACTCCGGAATCCCTTCGAGATGAAATGTGGCGTATCATTGTGGCGCATTCGCCAGAGTCGTAGGGGAGAGTCGAGTGTTGTTGTATTTCCTTCAAAAAACAATGAATGAAGAAGAAAAAAAACGCACACGCACATTTTATGGATTAAAGCGTTCTTGAAATATTAATCCGAAAAACAACAGCAACAGCAACAACAACAACAACAAAAAAAAACAGTAGAAATGAGCAAATAAGAAAAGCGGATGAGGTGTGTCTATTCGAATTTGTCTAGGATGAGTTTTTGTTTTCTGTTTTCTGTTTTAAATTTTTTACTAGTGTAAAAAGAAGAAGAAAACAGTGATGGAGGAGCGGGCACCAAAACGCCCACGAGAACCTGCTCCCAGTGATTGTTGTGGAAGCGGATGCTCAAGGTGTGTCTGGGATGTTTATTTTGACGAACTTGCAAGGTACGAGGAATATGCTAAGGGTTCGGAGGCGCAGGCAATAGAGCTAGATGAGGACGAGGAAGACGAAACGGGTTCATCATCCGACGATGACAATGATGAGACACATAATTTTGTAGGCTCCGTTGTGATTAAATACATAGATGTTCCTACGAATAAAGACGCGGTTATAACACCGATGGTGGCTTTGTCCAGAATTTTGGGGCATTTTTCACCTATTTGTGATGCCCGCGTGGTGATGAGCAGTAGTTCCCATTTAGTTGATGGTAACGTTTTGCAGGAGGATCAAGATCATGCAGTAGAAATCGTCGATGTATTGTTAGATAATAGATGCAGACCTGGGGAGCCAATGAACTCTGTTTTGCCTATACCGGGGGATGTCGCAGAGATATTTGTTCCCAACGATTATGACGTACATAGATCAGGATATTATGGAGAGGTAGAGAAGCTATGTGCTCACCTCAATCTTAATCCAAACCAATGGTGTGAAATTCACCGATCTCCGTTTGTGCCTTCAACTCATTTTCCCCCTTGGTTGCCGTTGCAATGTCCAGTTCAAATTTGGGTGTTGCTTGCATATTTTGTTGATATTAGTAGTTGTGGTTACCTTCTGCGTCCTGCCTTTTTTCAGACGTTATTGCGTCTTGCCATGTCGAATCAAACTCATCAGCCTCTTGTCATGGCAGAAAGGGGAGCGGGCTCTATGAAACTATTAGAGCACTGTGCCTCAAAGGAGGTGGCGCCATTTATCTACAAGAAGATTATGAATGGTGGTTCGGCTCTTTGCTATCCACATCTAATTGATATGTTTCACGTTTTTCCCTTTGTAAAACTTCCTCTGGCTCGACTGTTGGAGGTGAGTGGACCATTGCGACCGCGGCGGTTTAGTGTAGCCAACTACACACTGGATGATTCTTCTGCAGAGGGACAACCGCGTTCCATACAGTTGTGTCTTCGGAGGGTTGATATCAGTAAGGTGACGGTTGACAACTCGGGGGAATGACAAGGAAGATGCTGCATGCATGCTTGCAGGACTCTTGCGCGTTGCTGCTCTACATCGCGATACGCTAGACTGTAGTAACTGCAAAGCAGCAAGACCATTTTTTTTTAAAGGCCATGTTTCACACCCATTATGTAATTTTGGTTCACAACCACATCTACCTCCCATGTACGTGGGCAAAAAAATGTTTGGTACCACCCTCTTTGCGAAAATGTTGAAAGATGCCATCCTCCCGTTTAATACACAAATGATGGTGTCGAGAACACTCCCGTCATTGATCTTAGTTGGAGCTGGAACAGGCATTGTACCTTTTGTAAATGCCGTTCACCAGCTTATGCGTCACCGTCAAAACGTTATGGAGTCGAAAATTCAACTCCCCAATTGTTGGGTGGTGTACGGTGCAAGGAATTTTGCGGAGCTTGTATACCACAGAGAACTGCAGGAAGCCTTTGAGTTACATGCCATTTCTCGTTATGATGTGGCACTTTCACGTTCAAGTAATGAGGGGTATCCCAAGTACGTCACGGACGTCTTGGATTCAAATGCTGAGGAGATTCGATGTGCGCTTCTGGAGAACAGCGCTAGGCTGTTTGCCTGTGGACCGACGACAGCTTTGAAATCATTACGAGAAAGGCTGGCAAATCATATTTTGCGCCTTAGCGAGGATGACGAGAGCGCTAGAGAACAACGCGTGTTACTATTGGAGAAAAAAGGTCAGCTTATGTTTGATGTTTGGGCGAAGGTGAACATTTTTGAGTAATGGCACGAGAGCTTTGAAACTGCTTTGTTTCCTTGGCGGCAGAACAACTGCGACAACGATATATATATATATATATATATATGGATATTCCGCTGTTTCAATATTTTGTCGAAGGTCGCGGAGGAGTGGATGCATTAAAGGTTTTTTTTTGTGTGTGTTTCGTGTTTGTGTTTTTGGTTTGTTTGGGGCTGGAGGCATCGCACACCTAGCTTAAGCACATTTATAGAATGCCAAGGGAAACTGCATGGCCGGCTCTCCAAGTTGGCATCTCGCTAAGGATGCCTTTACGCGAGCGGTTGAAAAATTTTTATTTCTTCCTTTTTGGGGCTAATTTTAATCGATGCATTATGGCAGCGTCTCTCGTACTTTTGGGACTCAGCTTTGTTAGCCCTGCCGTGGTGTCAACACTTTGGTATCATACAATGGAGGGTGTACTAACATTTCTTTTTGCGGGCGAGATTACGCTTCGGCTTGCCGTGATGCGCAGCAATTTTTGGGAGTCCGCTTATAATATTTCAGAGGTTGTGGCCTGCGTTCTTTGCATCACAATTTTCTTTATCCTTCATTTATCACGTCAACAGTCCTCACGGGCGGAGCACCAGGCGCTCATTGTGTTGCGCTACCTTGGGCAGCTGCTGAGAATGATAGGTGTTGTTGCTGCAGACACGATGACTTCGACAAGTGGAGAGAGTAGCATTCATCTTTTTGCTGCAAGCACTCCAAAACTTTCTTCAACAGATTCGAGGGAGTTGTACCGTGATGTATTGTAGCTAATGATAATGCATTTGTTACGTTTGTTATATTGGGTCAATCTTTATTACAACGAACCCCCTTTTTCTCTCATGCTCCCTTTGCTTCCATTATGCTCAGCTACTCAAAATACGATTTTGCTTGCAAACAGCAATATTCTGATCTTGCAGGATGCCTAGAACGCGAGGCGACCAAATTGTGCCTTGTCTCTATATGTCTGTCTGGCTAAGTGTGAGACTTATCCTGCTCAAATGTGAAAATTTATTTCTTATTCTCTTTCTTGGTGCGTTATCCTCCTCATCTCTCTATCTCTCTCTCACTTTTTCTTACTTTCTCTTACTCTTGCTATTTTCGCTTCATTTTAATCTTTGCGTGGTGAGACACAGGCCATAGCGCACCAATTGACCTGGGTTAGGAGGGTGCTTTATGTCGGGTGACACGTACTTCCGCCGCGCCATCAATTGGATGTATGGCGAGACGGCCTACCTACAAAAGGCGCCTGGCCCGGAGATAGGGGAAAAACACGTCAATGAACTTCTTGGCCGTCACCCTTTTCACCCATTCGATCCGGAAATGCAATTGGACCATCCCTGCTACAATGCAAATACCATGTTCTACAAATGTATGACTGCAGATCATGTTGAGGGGTATGAGCTTTACATGAAGCATGTGAGCTGTTACTTTCCATACAAGACCGAGTTAATGAAGTGCCTTTCAGGGGAGAAGCGCCGGGCGCGTGCGGCGGGAAGTCAATGAACAATAGTGCAGTCTAGGATTTGACGGGTTCCGCTGCCATTCATCATATGAGAATCATAGAGTTTGTTTTTTTTTTTTTTTTATTTATGGTATGTTGGTTTGATTGCATTGTTGCCACGTATCTCGTTGAAGGCGACTCTAAATTAACATATGTGGACATGTGTTGCTGATGGCTTATTCACACCTTTTTTGTTTTGTTTGTGACTATGTTGTCATAGCTTGTCTTTTTTTTTTTTTACGCGTGCGGCATATTCAGAGTTTCCAGGCTTTGAATCTCATCTACTGCATGCAGACACGACTGAAGTCACGGCCAGATGAGCCCAAATTAGCCGTGCATCCACCTAGCTGCACTACTCCGCTCTGGGGTGTGTGGGAGATGTGGTGCGTTTTACCAGAATCTGCGGCTGGGGCGACTGGGAATAACGCAGGCGTGCGAGGCAGCGCCGTAAAAGGGAGGGTCCCCACCAAGGTTAAGGAAACTAATGCAACATGGCTGGATCAGGCGCGCAGCATTGGCCTTTTTGACAACGCTGAAGGTTTCTGGGGAATTGTTAAGTGCACGTTGCCACCTTCAGAGTTGCCACCCGGCATCACATATTACATGCTCCGGCGCAACATTGCTCCCATGTGGGAGCATGAGGCCAATCGGCGAGGAGGGCGCTGGGTGGTTCGATTTCAACACCAAAAACACCGTCAGCAATCGAAAGGAGAAAAGGAAGGGGAAGGGGAAGGGGCCGAGGATCAGCCGGCGCGGATTGATGAGGCTTGGGAAAAGCTGTGCATCGCGTTGATTGGAGAACAATTTCCGTGTCCAGAGACAGAGATCTGCGGTGCCGCGCTGCGGCGGGCAGAGCGGCGTAGAGAATGGAAGTTGAGTTTGTGGACACGCACGGCGGCTGACCATGACACGCAGTTGGGCATTGGCCATTTCATGAAAAAGTTTCTGGATTTAGAAGACGGTGCCCTGCAGTATCTGTCTCACCGTGAACTGATGCAGGCAAGTGAGGAGGGATGCTGGAAGGTGCCATCCAAATATGAGTTATAGAGGTTGTGGATGAAACAAGACAAACGAAGAAAAAAAAAAGAGTTGTGTGAGGAGTGACGGTTACACCTTCGCCACTTTTTTGTTCTTGTTTCCTCGTTTGTCTGGCTCCATGAAACCGCGAAACATAGATAAGTGCTGTTAGATATTGGAGTGAGTGAAAAGTAAGGGAATGACCTTACCTTATTGGTTAAAACGAAACCCAATGCGCGTCCTTGCAGCTTCCTTCGACGTGTTTTGTCTGTATCACCTTGTTTTACTCTTTTGCAATGCAGTTACACATGCACATGTTGCCAGTTACTCGTTTGCTTTCTTCATCCTTCTGGATTTTCAGGGAAGGAGGCAAAGAGGGAGTAAAAAGAGGGTGATAAAGAAGGAAGAGTAATAATTGTACATGTTCGGCCGTCGTGTGTCCAGCTGTTGCCCAATTCCCACGGCGATGTATCGCACCTTGCACATCAACAACCGACGGCAGGCACAACGTCTTGTTGCTCCATTCGTGGCACTCTCTCCGCGGGAAACACGTGTTGCCGCCACGGATGCATTTGCTCTACAGACTGGTGTATTTCTTCCTGCCGACCTGGCCACATCCCCGTCGCTTTCGGCGCTTATGGGTTTGCCTGCACAGGCCTTGCTAAACGGGTTTGTAACTAACCCCATCCTGCTGCGCATCATTTCTGATACAATGTGCACGTATAGCGTTTTACTTCTTCACACATAACAATTTTTGAGAGAGGGGGAGAAATAGAGGGCTCAACGGTACAGCGGCGAATTGGAGGCGTCGTCAGTGTGAATATTACGTTGTGTGGTGTGGAGGGAGTGTGTGTGCGTGTGTGTCTTGTTGTCTGGCGGAGGAAAGACGTACGAAAAGAAAAACCGAAAAGCTTAGGAGAAAAGGGGGAAATCAAATAAAAAATATATATCAGGGGACTTAGGTGAGACGCTTTAAAAAAAAAAAGGGAAGTGAAACATTGCAAAGAGGGAAGTGTGTCACAAAAAAAAAAAGGAGGGTGGGGGGAGAGTGGGATATCACATGCGTGCATGTGATATTCACAAGGAAATGAGGCTCAAATCCCAGAGGAATAAGGAAGGAAGAGGGGGAAGGGGAGGGATGAGTCGTACCGACAGATCCGCTGGTGTCTTGACTTCTAAGTGCGTTAACTGTTTTCTTTTTTTTTCTCCTTCCGTGCGGCATCATTGTCTCTCGTTTTTGCCTTTTTCTTTTTCTCACCCCCCAACAATGGACTTGCTGGGGAAGAGAACAATTTGGGTCTGCGTCGTTGAGAGGTGCTCCTCTTTTTGTGGTCTGGGCACCTCTACGCGTACACGTCAACACGAGCACACCAACTCCGTGGCCATCGTTTTTTTTTTTTTTGAAGTCCCCTTTGTCTTTTTTTTTTGTTCATTGCATCTAACTGCCGCTATTGGCGTCGTTTCTGTAAACACTTTATGTTTGTATGCCGTTTTCGTCTTTTGCATCCGTTTTCTCTCTCTCGTTGTTGTCTTCTCGTGCTGACCCTCTTTTTGGCAAGAGAAACGAAGCAAATGTTTGCCGTCCCCCAGCAATTCGTCACCATCTTTTGTTTAGCGCTTAATGCGCTCAGCAGCATCTCAATTGTAATTTGCAACAAGTGGCTATTTCAGGATTATTACTTTGTGTATAGCATTACTCTCACGTTGATCCATTTTGTCATGACGTTCCTTGGGCTAGTTCTGTGCCTGGGTGGGGGCATGTTTAAATTGAAGCGTGTGAGTATCATGAAGGTGTTACCATTGAGCATCAGTTTCTGCGGTTTTGTTGTTTTAACAAACATGTCTTTGGTATACAACTCGGTTGGGTTTTACCAACTCATCAAAGTTTTAACGACACCGATGCTTGTGGTGATGGAGACCTTAATTTACAAGAAGACTTTCTCCACGAAAATAAAGTTATCGCTTCTCCTGATTTGCGTTGGCGTTACAATTGCGACGGTAACTGATAGCGAATTGAACTTTGTGGGTACAGTAGTCGCCTTTTCTGCTCTTTTTGTGACGTGTCAGTACCAGATATGGGTTGGTACAAAACAAAAAGAGTTGGACTGTGACTCATTTCAACTGCTTTTATACCAGGCTCCGATTTCCTCAGTATTTCTGCTGCCTATTGCATACTTCACGGAAATACAGGGAATGATTGAGCCTTGCAATGAAGTCATAAAGCTTATTCTGTTGACTGGTGTCATCGCATTTCTGGTAAACATCTCAATATTTCTTGTTATTCGGAAGACGTCGCCAGTCACATACAATGTCTTGGGTCACTTTAAACTTTGCGTCATTCTAATACTTGGGACCATTTTGTTTGGTGACTCTATGGATGCAAAGAGAATTGTTGGAGTCGTCATGACTCTGGCTGGTGTTTTTTGGTACACGCACCTCAAGACAGCCACAACCGCCAATGCGGAGTTCGTTACCGTCGATAAGGCTGTAAAGGAGGAGGAAGATGGTTCAAATGGTGTATAAATGGTGCAACAACTCAGTTTAACAGGAACGAGACGCCAATGTTGGTGAGGTGAAGATTTTTCGTGGTGGTAGGAATGACAGCATAAATGATAGGACAAAAAATGAATTTTAAGAAGCTATAAAATTGAATACACATGGATGCACACACACACACACACACACACACACACACACAAGTGGAGGAGAATAGGCAGGTAACGTCCTTTTTACTGAAGCGATTTCTTGGCGTTGCACGAACGTCAAGTGGCTGAATAATAAAGGGATCGATGCACTATGTATTTGGCCATCTTCTCGACGGACTTTGGTGGGATGATGAAGTAACAAAAAAAAAACACAGTGGACAGGAGTGCGGGGTTGTGAACTGCAGCGTCGTCGAGGAGGTGAGTTCTGAGGGCGCCAATAAGATACTTGAATGTTTTTGTTTAATCATGTAAACAATAAATTCAACGGATACTGCGCATTGTGTTTTTCAGCTGATCGGTGGACGATGCCAGGAGCAACCCATTACCCAGAATAGAGGGGGTTGTCGAGTTACCGTTTTGCGCCCGTATTTCTTCATGACAACCGCTTATATTTACTGGTGCCACTTTTCGCGACGCCACCGTAGTGTGCCACGCAAAATGTATGTGGCGTGACGTGCAATGACTTCTCTGTGCATTACTGTCATCTCCTTCTCAACCCTGTTCTATCATT